AAAAGAGACTGCCAAATTTAGAAAATAAATCTGTAGTTCTAGCATATAAGATTCTGTAAAATGTGTCCAACATAGGTGGCATATTGTCAAGGCTTAATATTAAATTTCAGGAACTGAGTTGACCCTGAGCCCTGTGCTGCGCATATCTGTTTAAAATGTAAATAGGAGGTGACTTGATGGAGGGAAAGGAAGAGAAAAACAAAAATGTCCTTCATGTTGCACTGCCAATGTGGATATTTCCTTGCCTGCTTGTCCTCCTATTTTTGTGTATGTGGATATGCTGAGCAGAATATGGTTTTCTTTTAACCATGTTTTAGCTTTGGGGTGCATGGTAAAAGTCACAAAAATGCAATTGCTCTCAAATTAAGCATTTTAAAACCCCATTTTGGTGACATTTAAATTTTTAAAATCTAGCGGTCAAATTAAGGAAGATTTTAGTGCACATAAACACAAGGGACATCTCTAGGAGTTTACCTGGTGTCGTTTTCAGGGTATTTCACTCCGATGAAAATGCATGTATAGAATTATTTCACTCTGTTCAGGCATGCCATTTATATTAGAGAATGGAAACCTGCTCCAGGCTTCTGAGCCCTTCCTTACCTCCTTTAATGTGAATGGATGCCTACGCAAGGAGGCTGGGTTCATGGGATTCTGTCAAACTGTTTTCTCAGTAGTTGAATAATTTGCAGGGGGAAGGCACATTGTTAACAGTCTACATCCAGCCTATGAACTGGCCTTGTAGTATTCTGTGAAGGACTGCATGGTTGCAGTGGCGGGTGTAAAGAAAAATTTGCGTCTTTTACATTGAGCTTTCTGTGTTTATTTAATCATGCTGACAAACATTTCTGTGTACATAAGAATTCAGATTTTTTAAAAAATGAAATAAGGAGAGAAACAACACAAGGTTTTGTCAGTTATCAAGAGGAAAGCAAGCCTGACTACTGTAATAATGCTTATTATGGGAATGGGATTTTTTTTGGTAAAATTTTAAAAATATAAATAGGAGTTAATATTTTCCTATTTGTGATGTACAGAAAAGCTTTTCCAAACTGATATAATTATCCTTCAAGTGTTAGTGTTTTTTAAATAAGTGTAACTAACTTTTCAGTGGTAAGTTGGTATGATTTTTACTTTACCTTGCGTATGGTTCACCTGAAAAATTGCCCCAAAGCATCAGTTAATCCTACTACACCTTGTCTCATTTCTTGATACTTGTACTGTGCTAGTGTATACTATTTAGCCTCACAGTCAGATTGCCAAGCACAAAATGCAAGAATGTTTGATGTTTTGAATGTTGTAATTATATACATTTAAATGAAATGTCTGTTGAAAATTGGATTTTACCAGTGGTTTTTTGGTTTTTTTGTAATTTCCCTTGAAGGAATAAACAAAGTAAATTTCACTTTCTGAAATGAATTAGACTAGTATTTTGCTCTGTTCTAGCACAGATTTAATCCATATGTGTCTCAAGGCATTTGTGAATCTCTCCACCCCATGATCTAAATGTAAATATAATTTGGACAGGAAAATGATTTTCAATCCCACATAACATCATGATGGGGTATGTGAATATTTTTGAAGGATTCTCTGTAATATACTTTTGTGTACACAAGGCATCTCTTGAGTAAATCGAAGCTGTCACCTTATTAGAGGGCACCAAATTTTGCTCCCAAATACATGGACATAGGATCTACAGAAGTTTGGTATTAGGAAAGGACAGGCAGAACCTGCTGCAAAATGTTGCAACATTGAAGTCTCCTGTTTAGTGTTCTGGCCAGTTGTGTCATTTTCCAGGCTACTCATTTTCCTCTAAACAGATATTCAGCATTCTGTGGTTGAGCATATTCAACCTTCAGAGCACTCTTGAGGCTGCTTTTGTTCTTGGGGGTTTCTTAACCTATTATTCCTACTTCAACAAATCATAGGTTTCTCCTGAGCATTTTTATACCTCCATCTTGTTTCTCAGGTATCCTGTTTCGTCTACGTATCTAATAAAGCTCAGCACGTGATATTTTTAGGAAGAAAGAATACTGTGAACAGATATGTGTATCTTGATAACCAGAAACTCACTACTTGACATAATTATCAAATAATAAGTGAAACTGAGAGCACCTTCAACTGCATGAATTTTAACTAGATATTGTAAATAGCAATACCTGTACTTTTTCCGTGTTGTTAAAATTAATGAAGCTGAGCAACAAAATAAACTGCCTACTGAACATCTGCATGAATCACAGCTTCTAATAAGGTCAGTGTCAGGCCTGTGATTAAATGCAAATTTTGGGGGGGAAATGTTCCCCTTGAATTCGTTTTCTGGTTTTGGTTGTTGCTTGGAACACCAGTAATTTGGATATTATGTCTTAAGAGGCAGAGTGAAAAGAAGTGAGAAATTGCTAGTCACTTTCCACCCTCATCAGTTTTAAATAAGATTTACAGCCTTCAATAAAATTCCATATTGAAGTGTATTACCTGTTTGGTAAAAACAGGATATTATTACAAAACAAGTCTATGTTATCAGCTGTAGATATTTTAGTGAATACTCTTTAATTAGCACATACCTTCTCAATTTATCCAGTTACTTAAACTTCATTTCTGTGAATTATTTCTGAAGGGCAAACTACACAGCATGTGTGTAATCAATCTCTCAAATGATTTTCCAAGATCTTTTTGTTATTCTAAAAGCATTTGTAGGAGGCCGGCAAGTTGGATCACCTTACTCTATGATTGTTCTCTCAGATCAGCTGTAATGGTAAAAAAAGGTTTTAAAAATGTAACAATGAATGTACTGAATTTGCACAGTAAGAATGCATGTTAGAGCAGTTTGCATAATAGAATAATGTGCATAATGTGCAAATTAGATGTCCAAATTTGATCTTTTTAAAAAGTAAACTATTCTCAGTACATATTGCTAGTAAACTAATTTGGCTCAAAAATTCCCTCAGTTCTTTTTTTTTTTACATTGTTGTAATATATCTGCCTTCAGATCTAAATATTCATTAAGTCTCCATTTAAACTGTGCTTGCTCTGTTTTCAGTGACATTGTGGTGGGATTATCATCTGAGAAAACTTTTGGCAAAATATCCATTTTCACTAAGCTGATCATAGTTTTGGGTTTCCAAAAATGTCTGTTCTCGAGAAAGATTCATGATGATTTGGAAGGGGAGAGGATAGTCCCTGGATTTGTACTGCAAATATCTTGACCCATGTATTAAATCAAAATATTCTGTATACAGTGGGCCCTTGGCATCTGTTGGGTTTGGTTCCTGGACCCTCTATGCCTATATATGCCCTCCAAAGCGCTGTAAGGGACACGGGAGCATGTTTTGGGACCTTCCTGGGCCCCTAGAAGACATTTTTGGGCATTCTGGGGGAATTAAAAAGTAGGGTTCCACATATTGTAGAAAGCCCTCCACATCCCCTATAGAGTATTCTTGGGCATTTCAGACTTTTTTGCTCACAAATGTGAAACTTTTCTCTGAAATGCATCACTTTGGGAGGGGGCCAGAATTACCCTGGTGGAGCCCTGGGGACCACCAAAACGGTCCTAGGGTGCCAAATGTGGCCCACTAGCTGCATTTTGCCCACTTCTGGTGTAGAAGGTGGAATTTCAGTAGGTGCTGCTTGTGAATTTTGCTCTTCTACACAACCATAAGGGCCCTGTCCCTTTTTTCCCCTGGAAATTTCTTAGGGCAGCAAGATAGTACAAATCAATTTAAAAGTTGGTTTCTTCCTGGCAAGTTGGGGAGAGACTCAAAACCAAACAAGATTTAAATGTAAAATACTTTGTAATAACCAGTCAACTCCAATGCATCACAAATTTGCTTAAAATGCATATCCTCTTTTCCTAGGTTTAGACCTCACAATTTAATTTTGAAGTGATGTGAGTCTATGTGGAAGACAAGGCTGTTAGATGCTGAGGACCAATCTCTCTTTTCAGAAAAGTAGCATGCATACCACAATCTCCCTCTACAAACAGGAGGATTAAATAGCAGAGAAAGGGAGCTTTCAACCAGACCATAAAGATAAGAAGAAAGAAAACCTCCTTGAATTTTGTCTGAAAACAAAGTGCTACCCGTGGGATTCTTGTTTGCTCCTAGCAATTAAATGTAAGCAGTTGGTGAGACTGTGTTCTCGGCTAAAGGGATGATCACACCAGAGCCAATTCCACTACAATCGCACTACTGGAAGATAACAGAAGCATAGTGATCTATAGTACTGCATAGTTGTGCAATAATAACGAAAAACAAAAACGCAGTCACGTTCCGCATCCAAAAGCCAATCGTGTTACTGTATCATTAATAGATTGTGATTGGACATTTCACGCATGCGTGCTTGTCATGCTACTGCGCATGTCTGAAAAATGTTCCATCCCAAACACAACAAAATAAAATTTCCATCTTAAGAACATAATATATATCCAGTTCGAAGAAAAGAGTGCACTATACCTGAAAGTAAGAAAGAAATCTACTCCGAAAATGATTGTAGTAATGAGAACAAATTGCCTGTGCCGAACTGCACTCTGGGAAAAGGTCCCCAATAGCAATCCCCAAAAGCGCAAATACATTATTATTACCTTTTGTACCTTTGCAACAGTGCTTCAATTGCGTTATTGACAAACCAGTCACAGGACTTCCCTGTGAATATGTAGTTACGAGATGATCACAGGTGATTCGCTGGACAATACAGGATGAATGTGATGTCCAGCGAAAATGTTCGCACAATCGTGCTATAATGACAGGAGCATTCATTTTTTTTCTCCCATGTGATAATCTCCCAAGTTCTGTCCTCAAAATGCATGTTATAACACTTGATAAAGAGGTTCATAGGGTACAGACAGTGGCACCAAGGGTTTATTTCTTCCAGAAGTAGCATAGCTGCCAAGTCAGCCAAACCTGATGAATTACAACCTTGGCCATAACCACGACATACATTTCCAGGAGCATACTCAAGACTAAAGATCTGGGTTTTATTTTTTGGAAGGAGGACAACCTCAGTTGAAAGTCAGAATGGTGTAGTGGCTTGAGTGTTGGACTAGGACTCTGGGGACCAGGGTTCAAATCCTTGTTCAGCCATGGAAACCCACTGGGTGACCTTGGGCAAGTCATGTTCAGCTTCAGAGGAAGGCAAAGGCAAACCCTCTCTGAACAAATTCTGCCAAAATGCCCTAGGAAATTAAGATATCTAATGAGGGTGGGTGATCTAGCATGGCGTAATGGTTCAAGTGTTGACCTACGACTCTGGAGACTACGATTCCCAGCTCGGCCATGAAACCTACTGGGTGACCATGGGCAAGTCACATTCTCTCAGCCTCAGGGGAAGAGAATGGCAAACCTCTGAACAAATCTTGCCAAGAAAACCCCATGATAGGTTTGCCTTAAGGTCACCATAAGTTGGAAATGACCCAAAGGCATTGAACAACAAACAATGAGAGTGGGGGTGGCAGTGCAGTTTCTACTGTATTGTGCTGTGGACTAAGTTTGTTCTCAACTTTGCAGTTTAAAAAAGCCTTATACAGAAAATGTCAACTGCAGTTTGAATACTAATACAGGCAATTGCAATTGAATTCCAAGTAGAGTTGCAAAGTACTTATTATGCAAGAAGGAGAAATTGTTCAAACATTAAAGTCACTCTTATACATGTAAACACCTATCTTCTAGACATATCTATTTAAAATTTACTCCCTTTATTATGAAACCTACAAAAATGGAAAATGTTCCTACAAGCACTGCAAGTTGCACCCAATGCTATTCTGTGATTATCATTAGTGCAGGGGGTAGAATAGGCTTATTTCTCTCTTTCAGAACCAGTAGTAGTCATTCATTCCAGTACATGGCATGATTAAATGGAAGTCCTGCGGAATTCAATGGGACTTACTCCAAATTAAGTGCACCATCGCCATTTTCACAGTTTGACCAATGAAAAGCACACTTCACCTCTATATATGCAAACTGGAGATTGCACCTGTATGCAGACTTTTAGGCACTTAAATGTCTGCAGATGATAAGGCTGGCTACATTTGGGAATTTGTATATAAACACATAAATTTACAGCACAATCTGACTCGGGGCTTATTTCCAAATAAATACAGTGGGCCCTTGGTATCTGCTGGGGTTTGGTTCCAGGAACTTCTGTGGATTCCAAAATCTGTGGCTATTCAAGTCCTGTGAAATGTGGTGGATAGTAAATAATAATAATAATAATAATAATAATAATAATAATAATAATAATACAATTTTATTTATATCCCGCCCCTCTGAGGTCAATCGGGGCGGCTTACAACAATAAAATAATACATAGTATAAAACAAGTCAAATTCCCTTTCCCCCCTTAAAACATTATTAAATCAAGTTAAAATCAATATAAAACATAATTAATTTTTAAAAACCCATCCTAGCGAGGAGCATCCACCTGGAGCTCCAGAATCATCTTCCAGAGAGAATTCCTGAGGCCGGGATTAACTATTCTGGAAAAGCCTGATGGAAGAGATCCGTCTTGACAGCCTTTTTAAAGCTGTCCAAGGATGTCAATAGACGGATCTCATCTGGCAGAGTGTTCCACAGTTTGGGGGCGACAATGTAGTAAAATGCTGACTCTTATATAAAATGGCAAAAAATTAAGGTTTGCATTTTGGAATTTATATATCTTAAAAGTATTTTCAAGCCATGGATGCTTGAATCTGTGGATAAAGAATCCGTGGATACGGAGGGCCAAGTGTATGTTTAAAATCAGAGCTTTTGTTGTGCTTTAGAGCTGAAAGCAATTTTTTCCTCCCTCCCCAATCCACCTCAGAATTTGCAAACAGATTCAATATTGAATATCCCAGGCTTCATAGATCATTGGCATTTAACATCCATCCATATGACATTTGATAATAGACATGCCAAGGTATTTAATAGCTGACAGCACTAATAGCTGTTGCATAGCTGGTATGCATGAATCACAGTTCTTTTCAAGCTTTCTGCTTTCCACATTGGCTTGCCAGCCAGGGACTTCAGTATATTTGCAGCAGAACCTCTGCGTAAGGCAAGGAGTTCTGGACTTTGTCATAGATAAATATCTTGGACACACAAAACACAGTTGGGCTTCACCATTATGAATGGAAATTATATTTTCTGAAGCAGTCTTTGTGATTGAGCACTGCAAAGAAAGATCACAGTGGTGGCCAAGTGGTTTTTCAAGGAACCATGCCAACCATTATGGATCTAATTTTTACAACCACCATAGCTAAAATTTAAAAAGCTCACATTAGAAAGGAATTGGAAATTTGTTATATTTGCACACCCTCATTGCCTTTGGTGATAATTCAGTCTCTGTGAAATCAATGCAGCTAGTCTCATTTGTTTCAGACAGTTGGACTTAACCATGAATGAACGACTTGACTGACTCTCTCAACTAGGGAGACAACGTACGGTGGGGCCTTGGTATCTGCTGGGGTTTGGTTGCATGACCCCCTGTGGATACCAAAATCCATGGATATTGAAGTCTCATTCAATACAATTGCAGAATAAAATGGCGTCCTTAATATAAAATGGCAAAATCAAGGTTTGCTTTTGGAATGTAAATATTTTTAAAAATATTTTCAAGCTGTGGACAGATAACCCATGGATATGGAGGACCAAATGCCCATTTTTACAAATGGCATCTTCAAGTGATCTAGAAATATTAGTTTTCAACTAGAATTGCCCTGGGTCTGCTAGGTAGAAAATAAACACTAAGGTTTGATTTTCCATTTTGAAAACAGAAATCCACCTTATGGTTGAACAAAGAGCTGCTATTACCTTCCTTCTAAATTCTTTGCCCTAATCGAAAGATCTTAAGCAAAAAAAAAAAAAAAAGGGGGGGATTGGAAAAAAAGAATAAATTATACAATAAATTATGATATAAAAGAAAATCTATACAAAAGTCAATATAGATGGTATTTAGTTCCATATAAATTATCAAAAATGAACAAGAAAGTTTAAAATGTATGCTGGAAATGTGGAAAAGAGACGGGTACATATTACCATAATTGATGACAATGTGAAAAAGCAAAAAAGGATTGGAATATGATTCATGCACAAATGAGAAAAATGTTAAATGTTGAAGAACATGCAGACACAAAGATGTATTTGTTAAGTATGATAGGAAATGACGAACTGGAAAGGAAATTTAGGAAACTTATATTTTATATGATTGTAGCAGCCAGGCTGTTACATGCAAAATATTGGAAAAATACAGAAATTCCAAAAATAGAAGAGCGGAAATTAAAATTATATGCTTATTATGAAATGGACAAATTGACATATTTAGTGAATAAAAAAATCGACAAATTAAGTATAGATTGGAAATCATGGATTACTTATATTAAAGAAGAAAAAAGCATGTATATTGCATTAGAATGAAGATAATATAGATAATATAAGGTTAAACTGGTAGTAAAATGTTATAAAAATAAGAAGATCTTAAATTTTTGAGTATTTATTCTGATATGTTTGATTTCCATTTTGGGTATGGATAAAACACAAATTAGATTAAGAAAGTACACAATTAAACAACTTATTGAAAGAATTATCAAGAAGTTAGGAAGTTGAGATGTGAGGTTAGTTTGGTTAGAATATAGAATATATGTATTGATTGTATGAACGTAATGTTTTTTTTCATTCTTGTTTTCTTGTGCTTTAATATAATAAAAATTTAAAAATTAATAAATTCTTTGCCCTAATCAAGCCATTTTGGCAATTAAGCCTGACTTCTAGTGGGATATTTGAGAAGGAGCCAACAGTTCATTACTGCATTCCCTGCACAAATAAAACAGTGCCAGCTTCACACATGCGCTTGCAAAGGTTTGGTAAAGACTTAAACATTTGCTGTGTTCAAGAGTATATAGTTCAGCTGCTTCCGCTGGAGTCATTGCTGGAGACTATACTATATACTACAGGAATCACCAGTGACAAAATTGTGCATTTAAAGCATTTATGTGTACACTTCACACAGTCCAGCAAGGATCAACCAAGAGGATTGATAAAGCTTTAGTTGTGTAGCCCTATATATATGCTATAGGAGGGAACCTTTGACTTGCCAGATTTGGTTGAACTAATACCTCCATTGTGTCTATGTCTGATCAGGGATAATGGGAGTTGGAGTTTGGCTACATCTGGTGGGCCACATGTTTCCCAGTGCAGGAATGAGAAGACTTATCACTCCAAGGAGAAAAGAAACTGGCCTGAACCAATAGCTTAGTTTACAGTCAGATTATACATGCACATATTTAGCCAAAACAGTTATCACTCATTTGTGTGGAAACCTGAAACATTCATGCATAAAATTAGAGTGTTATATTTTATCACCAGGTGAACACATCAACTGTTTTAGCACATTCATTCCTGCTAAAATGCAATAAAAATTAACTTCCTGCAATATTTTGCTTCTGAATTTAAAAGGCAAGAAGGGGTAATAATTCATATTCTAAATGCAAGTGCATGAGTTGCATTGATCAATTAGGTGTCACTGAACAATTCTGCAAATAACTACTTTTTGTAAATTAGTCTGAAAGCATTCTAAACATGATTAAAATCTGAATCTAACAATATTTGTAAGGTGCATCTAATAATACGATAGTGCTTTACTGTAAATATAAAATCAGAAAAATTATGCAAGAATATTTCTAATACAAAAAGTGATTTTTTAAAAAAAATATTTACATCATGAAATACCACAAACATAGTGTGTTCGCTACTCTTTGTTTATAGGGACAATCCAATTTGTCCATGATTTTAACAAAAAAACCCTGTGCTATCTTTGCTGCTACTATGCATTTTCAAAAGGATTTGCATGCATTACAAAAATGTGGTTAATGTTGTTTATATAGAGATTAATGAAAGACATCAAAGCAATACATTTTTTGAAAGAGCATGTAATGAGGTTGTTTAAAAAAAAAACAACAGTGCATATTAACATACCATAGTCAATTTTAGATGAGCACAGAAACATAATAAATGCCACACTCTTCTAGAAAAGACAAGCAACCATTGCTTACTATCTGCATTTCTTTTAATGATTTTTACTGTTCTTGAAATAGTTCATATTCCAGGCA